GTTTCGTCCTTCCTTCCTTCCTGATCTCTCACTGGGGCCTCCCATTGGCTGAATATAGCCAGAAGTCAGCTAGCAAGGGAAACTGGGAAACAGTTTATGGGAGTCAGCTCCAATAACACAGAGCAGAACAGGAAAACAGATGCGGAAAGGGATCTAGTTGTGAACAAATGCCTAGGTCAGATACTTTCAGCTACAAACAACCGAAGAACCCACTGAGAATAGCTCAAACTAGAAGGCGTTTAATGTCTTGATTAACAGATGGAAGGCAGGGCAGTTTCAGGGTTGACTAGAGCAATTGAATGGCTCAACTATTAACACATCAATAACCTATATATTCTTTCCATCTTTCAGTTCTGCCACCTTCAGCACATTGGCTTATCTTTTCACAGCTGGCTCTTTGCACAGTTTCATCCTGCTTGTAGCAGTTTTGTGTAGCACATACAGACACAGAGACATCTAGATCGGGGCATAGATTTGTCTGTTTCTGTTTTTGTTAAGAGACAAGCTCTTGCTATTTTGCCTAGGGAGGCCTCCTGGGCTCAAGTAATCCTCCTGCCTCAGCCTCTTGAGTAGCTGGGACTATAGGTACACACCACAGCACCTGCATATTTGTGAGTTTTTGTTTTTGTTTTTTTTTAGACAAGTTCTCTTTTGCTGAGGCTGCAGTGCAGTGGAGCGATCACGGCTCACTGCAGCCTCAGCCTCCCTGGCTCAAGCAATCCTTCCAACTCAGCCTCCAGAGTAGGCTGGGCTGCAGTGGTACAATCTCAGCTCACTGCAAACTCTGCCTCCTAGGTTCAAGCCATTCTCCTGCCTCAGCCTCCAAAGTAGCTGGGACTACAGGCAGGCACACCACACCCCGTTAATTTTTGTCTCTTTAGTAGAGACGGGTTTCACCATGTTGGTCAGCCTGGTCACGAAATTCTGACCTCAAGTGATCCATCCACCTCGACCTCCCAAAGTGCTGGGATTACAGGCATGAGCCACCATGAATGGTCTTGACTGGTGAGTTTGGGTACCCATTCAGCAATAAGTGGCAAGGGGAAAAGTCCATTCCTTCTAATCCAAGAGACTGTAGGAGAAGAGACAAAGTAGGGGCTTCATTCTGGGGGGGAAAGTTGTGTTAGAGGGGGTGAAGTGTGTGCTGAGGGCAGGAGCCCTGGAAGCACATGGCCTTATAGGCTGTTCACAACCGGAGGGAGAACCACAAAGGATGTCATAAACAGTAGTTGTGTTGAGAGCCGAGGGCCTGCTAAGGAACCTGCCATGTTGAGGGTCAAGGAATTAGAAGATGATCATGGCAGAGATCAGAAGGTTTTACAGTGTTGGTGAAGCTAGGACATATCTTAGGGCCTTGGCCCAGCTGAGACAGGTATGAGTAGTGTTTACCAGCAAGTTTCAGCAACAGAATACCCAGGACACATTGCATCTCAAGGAGCAGTGAAAATTAGTCTTGCTAAAGAAAAATCCAGGCTGGGCGCGGTGGCTCACACCTGTAATCCCAGCACTTTGGGAGGCCAAGGCGGGCAGATCACCTGAGGTCTGGAGTTTGAGACCAGTCTGGCCAACAAGGGGAAACCTCGTCTCTACTAAAAATACAAAAGTTTAGCTGGGTGTCGTGGCGCATGCGTGTAAGACAGCCAAAGCAGAAGAATGGCTTGAACCTGAGAGGCAGAGTTTGCAGTTGATGCCCAGGAGTTTCAGTGTACAGAGGCAGAGATCATGCCTTTGTACTCCAGCCTGGGCAACAGCGAAACTCCGGAGAGAAGAAAGTAAAGAAAGAAAATAAAGAAAGAAAGGAAAGAAGGAAGGAAGAAAGGAAGAGAGGGAGGGAGGGAGGGAGGGAGGGAGGGAGGAAGGAAGGAAGGAAGGAAGGAAGGAAGGAAGGAAGGAAGGAAGGAAGGAAGGAAGGAAAAGATCCAGCAAAAATGTAAAAGAGATCTTGCAGATTTCAGGACCTAGATTCCCCTATAGTATCTTGGGTTCATGTCCGATACCTGTCATCCTCCCTTCCCTCCTTCCAAATGTTTTGAGGGAAGCAGACTGAGAGGGACTGACTGGTTTAACCTAAACTTAAAGGAACTGTGTAAATTATTGCAAGACAGTTTACCAAATTGGCCTAACATCTAGGGTTTTCCCTCCTACTGTTCAAAGGCTGAGGACATTTGATTTACAAAGCTGGATGCATTTTGAATAAATCTATGACATTCCTATAAAAATATAAAGTAGTTTTTCACCTGAAATGTTGCCAAGACAGAAAATTATTCATTTGGTAATTGTAATTTTTTTTTGAGCTTAACTTTTCAAGGGTATCTACATTTTTCTTACATCCAAATTTTTGATGGATTTCCACATATTGCCAGCTATATGCTTACATGTATGCCAAATGACTTCTTAGAATATATGAGGGAGTGATACAAATATGTTTGGATAAGTTAGACATGAGTAAAGCTGCTGTTGCAGAAAAGAATGACGGTCACAAAATTTTTTTATTTTTTATTTATTTTTATTTATTATTATTATTTTGTTTGTTCCTCAGCTGGAAGACAAAATTAATGTTATGGGTAGATAGTCCCAATCAATAAAGTATTATGCAGAAAATGTATTTTGCTTCCTAAATGGCCAGAATGAATGAAATGAGTGGAATTATTAAAAAGTAAAATGTAGGCCAGGTGTGCTGCCTCACACCTGTAATCTCAGTACTTTGGGAGGCCAAGTGGGCAGATTGCTTGAGGCCAGGATTTCAAGACTAGCCTGGCCAACATGGCGAAACCCTGTGTCTACTAAAAATAAAAAAACTAGCCTGGTGTGGTGATGCACACCTGTAATCTCAGCTACTTGGGAGGCTGAGGCTGGAGAGCTGGTTAAACCTGGGAGGCGGAGGTTGCCATGAACTGAGATCATGCCACTGCACTCCAGCCATGGTGACACAGTGAGATTCTGTCTCAAAAGAAAAAAGGAAAATTTGAAGTCAAAGAACCATTTTATTTATTTATTTTTATTTTAAAAAATTTTTATTTATTTATTTATTTTTAAGTTGGGGTTTCACCACAGCCAGGCTGGTCTTGAACTCCTGACCTCAGGTGATCTACCCACCTTAGCCTCCCAAAGTGCTAGGATTACAGGCCTCATGTGAGCCACCATGCCCGGCCTATTTTTATTTTTTGAGACGGAGTCTCACTTTGTTGCCCAGGCTGGAGTGCAGTGGCACCATCTTGGCTCACTGCAACCTCTGTCTCCTGGATTCAAGCAATTCTCCTGCCTCAGCCTCTCAAGTAGCTGAGACTACAGGCACCTGCCACCACACCCAGCTAATTTTTGTATTTTTAGTAGAGATGGGGTTTCACCATTTGGCTGATCTCAAACTACTGACCTTGTGATCTGCCCACCTACACCTTTCAAAGTTCTGGGATTACAGGAGTGAGCCATCGTGCCTGGCCCAAAGAAGCACTTTATAAGTGAATTTGAAAAGCACCTGGACTACTGTTATTAGTTGCCCCTCCCCTCATGTGCTCTTCCTCCTTCCAGGAAATCTGAAGCTAGTGTTAGCTTTCCTGTCTTGCTTCCACTGTGCTTACTGTTAAGGAGGAAAAGTAACAAAACCACAAAATGTAGTTTGGTAGAGGGAATTAGCTATTCATTGGACAAGTAATTATTATTCTAGGAGTCACTGTTTTTGAGATGTACATTAAAACTCATTTCCTCCATAAAGTTTTCTGTTAAATCCATACATTTCCAATCATTCCATTTCCTATCCTCATTACAGCCATTGTTTAATGCAAAATTTAATACTTTGGCAAATACCAATTTTTCTCTTATTTTGATAGACATGTAATAATGTAAACTAGTTGAGAGCAAAGTTCATGACATCTGCATAACACCTAACAGTGCCAATGTCAACATGGACAATAAATGGCAGAATTGATTTAACTAGTCGATTAAATGGCTTCTATTTATTCATTTAGACCTTGGTGGAGGGTTTTAACAAAGGATAGTAATAAAACCTTTTTTTCTCTGAAGCTAATGGAAGATGCTGTATAATGTTCCAGATTTTCCTTAGCTTCTTTCACGTCATTGTGATCCCACCTTATAGATGTGTCTTTTCTCTCTCTCTCCCTCTTTTTTTTTTTTTTTTTCTGAGACGGAGTCTTGCTCTATTGCCCAGGCTGGAGTGCAGTGGCACGATCGCGGCTCACTGCCACCTCCACCTCTCGGATTCAAGCAATTCTCATGCCTCAGACTCAAGTAGCTGGGATTTTTGGCGCGCGTCGCCATGCATGGCTAATTCTTTTATTTTAGTAGAGACGGGGTTTCATCATGTTGGCCAGGCTAGTCTCAAACTCCTGATCTCAGGTGACACCCCCACCTTGGCATCTCAAAGGTGTATATAAAAATACAAATATTAGCGGGTCCTGGTGGCACATGCCTACGGTCCCAGCTATTCCGGAGCTGAGGGAGGAGAATGGCTTGAACCCGGGAGGTGGAGGTTGCAGTGAGCAGAGATCGCGCTACTGCACTCCAGCCTGGCAACAGAGCAGACTCCGTCTCAAAAATAAAATAATAAAAACAATTAAATTAGTGAGTAACCTTGGTGAAAATCCACGTCCATACATTTCTCTTCAAAGCTAAAAAAAAAGAAAAAAGAAAAAGAAAAAAAATCAACCCAGAGGTGTGGGTAGAGGAGTGACTGCGTCTGCGACTGCACTGATCATCAGCCACGCTGTGGAAGGAGAAAGCGGACAAGCTCTCAAGGAAACCTTCATCCTGCCCCCAAAGGATTCGATTCCCCTAACAAACACTGTTTTATACCACATCTTGACAAGATCAAGACCGGGCGACTAGTAAGGACTAAATCTCGAGTAGTGAGGAAGACTTCCTGAAAAGCCCAGTGTATCCCGCACGAGAGACGGGGTCCCGGGCCCAGGGAGGCGGGGAGGGGAGACGCAGGTGTCACTGCGGGCGCCAGCTGCTTCTGTCACAACCCGCGGAAGACGCCACGCGCCGGTTGCCAGGGAGGCCGCGCTCCCCACCCCGCCCCGTCGGCCCCGGTGCTCGCGCGTTCGGTGACGGCCGGGCAGCGCGATGCCAAGGGAGAGCTGCTGGCGGGGGCGGTGGGATCTCGGTGCGCCATGAGCCCGGCTGCGGCCGATGAGCACAGCGCACGCCGCCCTCCACTTGCCCCGGGGCCTCGGCCGCGTAGATAGCGGCGGCAGGACAGGAAGCCCGAGGACACCGCAGGGCCGCGTCTCTACCAACACGCGAAGGTAAAGCAGCTCGGTCCACAGCGCCGCCCGGGGGCTCCCAGGGGAACGTCTCCACAGCTGAGGCGTGGAGAGGCGGGGATGCCAGGAAGCGGGGCGGGGAGCGGCGGGGGAGGAGAAAGGGGCGGGGCGGGGAGCGGCCGGGGAGGAGAAAGGGGCCGGGAGGAAGCCGCTTACGCGGGCTCGGGGCTGGGGGCTCGGGGCTGGGTGAGAAGTGACGGAAAAGCGGTGAGAAGGGAGGCCGCGGGCGGAGACGAGGGCTGGGGGCGGAGCGTCAGCAGGCGCCCGGAGCTCGGTAAGGGCGTGGCCTGGGGCGTGGGGCCGCGGTCCGCGGACGGGGTGAGGGGCGAGCGGGGCGGGCTCCCGGCACACTTGGAGGCCAGGCCTCCCGCCAAGCGCCGCCCCCATCCGGCCCCTATGGGCGGAGCCTAGGAGGGGCCGCCTGGGGCCCTGCGCGTGCGGCGGTCGCGCCTCTGCGTTTGCCCCGCCCTGCCAGGGCCCCGCCCCCTTCCTGGCGCGGGTCGCATCCTGACGCGATCCCCTCCCCCCTCCGGCTTCGCGCAGGGAGTCGGGCCCCGGGCCGCCACCGTCACCTCGGCCGCTGCAGCCGTCGCCATCGCCTTGTTCCCCCACCCTCCCGCCATGGCCGAAGAGCTCTCCGCGGCCACGTCCTACACCGAAGATGATTTCTACTGCCCGGTCTGTCAGGAGGTGCTCAAAACGCCCGTGCGGACTGCGGCCTGTCAGCACGTGTGAGTAGACGCCCCCTCCCCCGTGCAAAGCCGGGTGGTCGTCTAGGCCCGACCTCCGGCCCGGGACCCCCGGCTGCCGCCCGGCGGGCACCGAGGCCGCCGCGGCCTGCCCGAGCGCCACCGGCCCCCGACGTCCGGTTCCCCGCCCCGCGGAGCCCCGGGGCCCCGCTCCCAGCGCGCGCTTCCTCAGCCCGAGCTCCGGCTCTCCGGCTTTGGCGCCCCCGGGGCAGTGGCCAGGCCTTCGGTTCCCTGCGGCTTCCTCAGGCCCCGGAGGCCCGCGTCGTCTCCGCCGGGCCCGGGAGGAATTGCAGGGAACGTGGAGCCTTTTTGTTCCTTAGCAACCCGGGTGAAGGCTGGGGTGTCGGGTGTCAGGAGCGGCCGGCGGTGCCCGCGTGGGCCTGCTGGCCCCGCGCCTCGACCTGCCCCGCTTTCGGGTCCGCTCGGTCCGAGAGCCCTTCCGTGTGTCGCTTCCCCCCAAGCCCGCTTCGCGGGACAGCCTCGCGAGCGTTTTGTTCCGCTTCCAGTCCGCTGAGTGTTCGAGGGATCTTGAATGAGTTTTTTCCTCCTGTCTGTTAACACTGACAGGATTTTCGGCATTCAAAAGATCGTTCCCTTTGTTTTACCTTTCGGCGTATTACTTGGCTGCCGCAGGGGTGGGGAGGAGAAAGGAAGACTTCTGTTCGGAGGAGCGGACCGGAGATGAGATGCTCCGCAGGGTGGGGGAGGAGCACAAGGGGTTGGCCGAGATAACGCGTGCGTTTGATTGACAGGCACGTTTGTAAGAACTTCGATAAAATTCTGTGGACGGCTAGGGTGTCAGTCAAGGTGGAAAAGTGCCCTTCTTAAAAAGGTGGATAGCCCTTCGGACCTGACTGATGAACAGAGGCCCCGGGGAACTTTTTAAGTAATAAATAAACATACCAATTCCCAAGGTCCATTCCAAATTTACAAAAGAATTTTCAGGCAGGTGGGGCCTCGAAATCTTTATTTTCAGGCTTGAAAGTTACGTGTGCTTGCAAACAACCAAAAAGAACTGACTAACCAAATGTATTTCATTCTCCTTCCACTTTTTGTTTTTTGAAGTGAGACTTTTGTAAAGGATGGATTGAATTTTTGGTTCTTAATTGCAAATGCCCTTACTCTAGTTGTTTTCTTGATACCAGCTCTCCTCATTTTGTTCCCCAATCTTAACTGCACTGTCTACTTTATTCCTATTTTCTGCTGGTTGTGTGAGCCAAGAGGGTGTGGATTTTCATGAGGGAAATTATGCCAGTTAGGTTTTCACTCTTTAAGGGAGATGAATGACACTGTTTTGTGCAGCAAAAGCAGATTCTTAGAGAAATGTTTTGTAGTTCATTAGTGTGATGATTGAGTGTTCACAGGCATGTGTGAGATGTGCCACCCTCAAACCTTGTTACAGGGTCAGCACATTACCCGTCTGACATGACAAAAAAGGTTTGGAGATGTCTAGGGCACGATAGATAAATCTTTCAATACTTTTAATCTATAAGTATTATCCTAACTTTGTCCTTTTCCAGTATTTAAAAAAAACTTAAGTGCTGTGTTGGCAGTGGGTAGATAAAAGGGAGGGAGGAGGGCAAGGTGAGAGGAAGTTGTAATAGCTGCTAACTGTATATATACCAAACAGGTCTTTTTTGGATCGAATCATTCTAATTATCCTTTGGGTCACTGACCTCATGGACCTCATTGTAATTTTTTAGCACTCTCCAAAATTCCGTGTAGATTGCTCTAAGTCCACTTCCCTTTTGGGACATTTTAGATCAAGGACTATAATTTGGTTTGACCTCAAGACTAGGAACATATTGGAGATGATTGTTTTCAATTCAGGACCTTTCTCAAATCAATTTGTCGTACTTAGACAGTTCTGCCTGAACAATGAATTAAAGAATAGGCAGAGGGAGAAAAAGTTTTATTTGGAAGAGGTGGTAGTGAAGGAACAGGATCTTAATCAGTTGGAAGGAGTTTAGTGGGGAAATGGAGAGAATTTTAAATTATTATTTTTTTGAGACATGGCCTTGCTGTGTTGTCCAGGGTGGAGTGCAGTGGTGTGATCACAGTTCATTGCAGCCTTTACCTCTCACGTTCAAGCAATCCTCGAACCTCAGCCTCTCAAGGTGCCGGGACTACAGGAGCATGCTACCATGCCTGGCTAATTTTATTTTATTTTTTATAGAGACAGGGTCTCATTATGTTGCCCAGGTAGATCTTGAACTCCCAGGCTCAAGTCCTCCCACCTTGGCCGCCCAAAGTGCTGGGATTACAGGCATGAGGCCTGGCACCTGACCTGTTTTTTAAGTAACATAGTTATGTATGTAATTTGCCCTACCTTCTTCACAAAGGACAGACCTATGCCTTTAAAGGAATTTATTTATATTTGGCTACAAGATCAATTTTTGATTCATGAATAGAGAGTTGAAGTGATAAGGGCTTTGGGTTACTGTGGATCAGTTAGAAAATGAAAAAAATATATTTATTTTAATTTTTTTATAAAGATGAGGTTTCACCATGTTGGTCAGGCTGGTCTTGAACTCCCGACCTCAGGTGATTCCGCCCACCTTGGCCTCCAAAGTGCTTGGATTACAGGTGTGAACCACCACGTCCAGTCAGAAAATGAAAAATTTTTATTGCTATTTCATTGACAGGAAAGGATTTGACAACTGACTATCCTAGTTAAAGGAGAAAGTTCATTATCATTAGAATAACATTTCTAAAATATAAATTCTCATTTAATCCCCATTCATTCCCTGAAACTGCAGTTGTTGAATGCTTTCTGTTTGTCTGGGGCAGGGACTACTAAGTACTCTTTCCCTGGAGACTGTTAATAGGCCATTGGAGAGACCTATAAGTGTGATTGATATAGAAGAGATTTTATGTGAGCATCTGGAGCAGGTATCTAAATTAGCCTAAAGGGTAGGCATGACTTCCTAGATGAAGTAATGCCTTAGGTCAGAGTTTGTATTCAGGGTTTGTGGGACATGCCAGAGTCAGGGAGGGTACAGAGAATGCACGTGAGCTGGCCTTTGAAGTTTGGCTGGAGCCAAAGACAGTGTAGTGGAGATGAAACCTTAGAGTTACTGGCAGGAACTTAACTATGTAAGCTAATTTGAGTGTTTTCCTGAAAACCTATTAAAAATTAGATAACCTAATGAATAATACAAGACCTAGTAAGTAATTTTTGGCAGGGGAGTAGGATGGTCACATTTCGTTTTTAGAGTTTACCTTCGTATCAGGGTTTTCAGCTTGGTAGTGATGAGACTAGTGAAGAGGTCATTCATTGATATGTCAGGGAGAGAAATGATTAGAACCTGAACTAAGGAAATGATAGTAGGAATGGAGCAGGGAGACTCCTGACATTTTAAGGACATCATGTAAGATTTGGTGACTGTGTGTTCAATATAGTTAAGTGTATATACCATATATAGATCTGGAATACATGGAGCTAAAGCTGTGGTTGTTGACGAAGATATCGAGTTAGATATATAATTTGAAAGATCGAAGAGCACCTAGATAGAGCAAAGTATTGGAGAATACTTATTTAAATATTGAGTGGAGAAAATTGCAGCCTGACAGGAATGAACAGAAGGATAGGAAGAAAACCAGAAATAAAGTGAGAGTAGAAACTGAGGATTCAAATCATATCCTAATGACTGTTAAGGAAACAGTCATCATTGTCAAATGCTTTAGGGTGGTCAGATGTAATTTTTTTTTTTTGAAATAGGTCTTGCTCTGTTGCAAGGAGTGCAGTGGCATGATCATAGCTCACTGCAGCCTCGACCTCCCAGGCTCAAGAGATCTTCCCACCTCAACCTCCCAAGTAGCTGGGACTACAGGTGCGCACCACTATGCCTGGCTATTTAAAAATTTTTTTTGTAGAGGCGGGTCTTGTTTTGTTGGTCAACCTGGACTCTAACTCCTGGGTGCAAGGCAACCTCCCACCTCAGCCTCCCAAAGTGCTGGGATTACAGGCATGAGCCTCCATACCTGACAGATGTGATATTTTGGAAAACATGTTAACACAAATTAATGTGAAGCTTGAGCAGATAGTCAAAGCAAGATTTCAGAAGAAAGTACAGACTGGCATAAGAGGAAGGTGTTTGTCTCTTTTGGTATTTTATTCTATAATCTTCAGAGGCTCTTGGAAACCTCAGTTCTTCCTTGTTTTAAACAGTCAAGGAAAGAACTTTTTTTTTTTTTTAAATGAGACGGAGTCTTGCTCTGTTGCCCATGCTGGAGTGCAGTGGCGCAATCTCGGCAATATTTGTTGAGAGAATGTGTAATGGAAATTCACCTAGCAGCTATTAGTTTAAAGTTGAGAGAAATGTGAAGCAAACCTTTTTGGTTGTTAAAGGGTAATGCCCTATGCTGAAGATACGGGCCTTTTCAGAAACATGAAAATTAGTTTTAGTAATTCTTGATTTGTACCTTTTTTCCTTTTCACTTCTGCTTCGTTTTGAAATAAGTTCTAGCAAATTCATCCATTCCAGCCCAAAGTGAGATGAGAATAAGCAGTTTTATGTCTAAAGAAACATGCTTCGTGGTACAGAGGAAGGAACAGTAAAATTGGAGATAAAAGACCTGAATAACTTTCTTTGTACCTCTATTTTATTTTACTTTATTTTTTTGAGACACAGTCTCGCTCTGTTGCCAGGCTGGAGTGCAGTGGTGCACTCTTGGCTCACTGCAACCTCCACCCCACCAGTTCAAGAGATTCTCCTGCTTCAGCCTCCCGAGTAGCTGGAACTACAGGCATGTGCCACCACACCCGGCTAATTTTTTTGTATTTTTAGTAGAGATATTGTTTCACTATGTTGGTCAGGCTGATCTAGAACTTCTGACCTCAAATGATCCACCCACCTCTGACTCCCAAACTGCTGGGATTACAGGTGTGAGCTACTGCACCCGGCCATTCTTGTACCTCCTATCACAGTTTGTAATCATAACATTTTTGGAATCAGATGATTTGACCAATGCCAGTTTCG